AAAAAGAGACAGATTAGAAAAGCCTGATTTTTCCAGCCATCCTATTGAAAGTGCCCCAGGAAAGGGCTTCAAATTGGGAGTAATAAGAGGTTCAGGGACAGTCAGGGAAATAAAAAGCACTTTCTCTGTGTGAGCAGAGGAGAGGCTGTGTGTTCCAAGGGAATTGTTTCCTGGGCTGAGACCCACTTGCATTACTCCTGCTTAATGAGTTGCCATCCATCAGCTGAGCTGCAAGAGTGGCCCATGTCCAGGTTTAAAAGCAGAGGGAAAAACACCTGAGGCAGGGACACCAGGCAGGTGCATTCAGTGTTTTGATGATATACATAACACAGTGCTCACCATGACTCCAAACAAGTTGCTTGGCTTCTCTGAACCTCAGTTTCCTGCTGGTGAGCAAGGGTAAATTCAGTGCCACATCTCACAGGCTTCACTGGAGCTCTAAAGGAAAATGTGGAACCACAGATGGAAAGGTATGAGCAAGTTCAAAGGAGTGGTTTTGGAAAACACACCTTTACATATGAAGTGAGATCAGACTGATTCCTCAATTAGCAGATTAATCACTCTAGAAATGTTTATTATTACTTTATTATATGTTTACTACTCCACTAATCCAGTTTATAGGAATATGGAGGACCTACTTCTCTAACCCTCACCAGCAATGTCCAAACATGATGGTAGAGAGCATCCTCAAACCCTAAGTAGATTGGCATCATGGTGTGAGCACCCTTTCCTTTGAGGAACTGCAGGTGAGCCTGGCACTCAAAGCCCAGGACATAGAACCCAGCCTGGCTCTGCACCTCCAGGAGTTCTGTCTTTTCTATCCCTTCCTTCAGGGAGCTGCAGAAATCAGTTTGATCTTCCTCCTATTCTCCTCCAGGATGAACAAACATGGCTGGTTTTGCCTCTCCTTGTACCTCAACCATCCACTGGTGGCCTCTGCTGGACCCGCTTCCATCTGTCAATGCTGGTTTTGTCTAGGAAGCCCCAAACAGGACCCAAAGTTTCCAAAACAATCTCAGAAGGGCCAAACCAAGGGGATTCTCACTCCTTGATGTGCTGCCTGCCTCCTTGCTCACACAGCTGAGGGTGTAGCTCACCTCTGCAATGATCCCTGTTCAATTCCCACCTCCCTTCCTATCAAGCTGCTTCCCAGCCCAGCTGTCCCCTGGCCTGTCCTGCTCCCTTGTGAGGTTATTCCATTAGGACTGTGCACTTGTCTGCCCATTTCTCCACTCCCTCTGAACAGCAGCTGCTGCCTCTTGGGTGTCAAGTGCTTCCCTCCCTGCTGCTTCCTTTGGTGGCTTCTGAAAACTTCCTGAGAGTGTGCCCAATTACCCAGGCCATCAGTACCAGCCCCCCCAGGATCTCAACAGCAACGAGTTGCCAAGTGGGCTCTGTACTTCTGATCACCACCCTGTGAGTGCAACAGTCCAATCTATCCTCCAGCTTCCTTCTTTCCTATTTATTGGGCCCATATCTCCCCAGCCTGGTTCTAGGGAGAGTGAGCATTGAAAGCTTTACTGCAGCTAAGGGAAACCACTCAATATTCCTTTATTCACCCTGTATCCTCACAGCCAGTTTTCTTGCCTTTCCAGGTAGTCAGGTCCATCAGGTGTGATGAAACTTTTGTTTTGCTGGGTTCAAACCAACCCACCCCTGGTAGACATTCTCCTACCCAGATCAACAGCTTTACAATTGCACCAGTGCTACTTCTGTGAAAGAGTCACAGAATCACAGAATTACAACATCCTTCGGGTTGGAAAGGGCCTCTGAGATTACTGAGTCCAGCCTGTGGCTGAAAACCATTTTGTCAGCTAGACCAGTGTGCAATCCCTCCTTGAACACTCCCAGGGATGGTGACAACCCAATGCTTGGCAGCCCTTTCTCTGAAGAAATTCCTCCTGGTGCCCAGCTTAACCTCCCAGGCACAGCTTGAGGCTATATTTCATCTACAGGTGGTGTTGATCCTGCAGTAGGCATGGTCTGTGCATACAATCAGAGCTGCTCCTTCATCCAGAGACTCTAGAGCTCCTTATCCAAATAGACAGGGTAGTAGGAAGACAAAGACACGTGAGACCACCAGGGATCATTAGTCTGAAGTTGGATGTTACAGTGGATTAGTTAAACTGCACTTAGGACAGTTGTGTGGACAGTCCTACTCACAGTGGAAAAAAAAAAAAGCTGAATTTCTTTTCTTCTCACTTATTGTGGACATGAGGTAAGCCAGGATGAGTGGAGGCTACTTGAATTCTGAACAGGAATGTCCACATAGACAGTTTAATGAAGTTTAGCTAATCCAATTTGCAAAGGTTAATTCAGATTCATTTTCCTGGTTGTCTCTGTGTAGATAAGGCCAAGGTCACTTCCCCAAGGTGACTGGCTGAGCCAGGCACAAGATCCACACTTTCTTTCACCATTACTTTCCCAGGCTGGTTTGTCCTGATCCATGTGCCCCCTGCACAGAAGAACTCAGTTTCTCACATTTTCCTCCCTCAGCATCACTGATCCTTGCTGATGAAGATCACTAGAGACCCTTTTCCTGGGTGAAATGGAGCAGGTTGTTCCTGGGGCCACAGCTCATGCTGCAGCTTGGGGGCGAATCACAGCACACACACAGGAATTGGTGATGCTAAAATCCCTCCCAGGGATCCAGAACAGCCCCAGGGTCTTGCTGGTAGAGGTGAGCACTTCCAAGCACTCCAGCTGGCTGACAGTGCAGATCTCCTAAATCATCCTGATGCTGGTTTTTTCTGACTCTTCTGGGCTCTCACGTACGTAAGTGCAGTTACCCAGAATCTGCAGCAAAAGCAATAGAGGCAGTTTGGGAAATGAAGCTCCCCTTTGCAGCCCTGCCAGGTGCAGGCTGTGATGGGACCTGATGTGTGGGGACATCTGTCCCACACTTCTTCCAGCAGGGTTCTCACCTCTGCTTCTCAGCAGCTGGTGCTGGCCCCTGCAATGCCCCAACTGCTCATAAGGGATTGAGATCCAAAGATATTTTAGAGTATTTAAAAAGGCATATATAATCTAACCAAAACTGAAGAGCTGCCTTAGCCTTAACTGAAAACTTTCCCAAAGGAGTTACAATCCTAGAACAAGGAGCTTACATCTCCTAGTACATGATGAATGGGTGCAGGAGCTATTCTGAGCAGCAGGCAATAGTGAATGGTTACATTTCCTTGGCCAAGATGAGGAAGCTTTAAGTAACTAATTAAAAAAAAAAAATCAATAGAAAGTCTTTTCCCACGATCTTTTGCCATGAGTCCTTGGCAATAATTTCAGTGCTCACTTCAAAGAATTGAGGTCTCTTTTCTGTGCCTCTTTCTACCATGGCAAAGGAGTTTACAAAGAGAAGTTGCTCGAGCCCAGTAGCTGTTAGCTTGCTGTTCAGTTTTAGGGAGGACTTGCAGTCCCCAAGTCCTTGTGATCAGGGGTCCCTGCATGGGTTGTCCTGTAACCATGGCATGTGTCCACATCTCTGGTCTGTTGTCATCATCAGAGATAATTGCATTTCCTCTGGACTTCCTCAGGTAATAATTTCTGATGTTTCCATGTCCAGCACCTCATCCTCTTCCCCACCACTGCAGCCTCTCCCTCAGACCTGAAGTGCCCTGAACTGTCCAGGGCTTGGTCCCTGCTGCAAGGACTTTAGTGGGAAGTGAAGAACAAGACAAGGGACAGAGGGGACAGAGAGCTGGAGTGTGCAGGAAGCAAGGACAGGTTTTCTGCCAACAGTGGTGAGAAGTGCTCTCCCTTTTGCACTGTCACTGTAGCCTTTCCCTCCACAGCCCATGGCACAGCTGGGACATCACCCACTTGAACACAATCTTTACTTCCCACATCTGCCAAGCAGTCTCAAGAGGTCTGTCAAAAAGAGTGCTGAAGGTGTGGTGTCCTCTCTGCCCAGGAGGATCTGCCCATACCTTGCTACTGGATCTAATTCACTGAAGATTTTGCCTCATTGCAGCAAAATTTTAATTCCTCTTGGGCAAGTGAGAGTGTTTCTTCTTCTTGGTCTGGTTCAGCTGCTTCAAGTTAAGACAAACCCCAAATCTTCCCTGAAATTACTAAGAAGGGACCTGGCTGCTGCCTCTCCCCTTCCATCTGTGATCTGCTGCTACATTTTGCTGCTCTCCTCCTTTTCAAGAAGAAATTTAGTGGAGACACCTGGGCAGCAGACCAGGTGTGCTGTGGGGTCTGTGCTGCACATACCATGGAGGAACACATCCTTCCAAGTGGGAAAGGCCAGCTTCCACACCCAGCTCCCACTGTCCCTGTCTCATCTTCCCAGCCTGACAGCTTGGTGACAAGTCTGAAACAGAGTCTGAGCTCATACTGCAATATCTGCAGGAAAATCCTCACCACTATTCCTCTCACTGGCCTAAGAAACCTTAAAGGCAACCTCCAACTCTTCTTTACCCTTCCTCCCAGCAGTGTATTCTTTTTAGTGCATACCCAGCACAAAAACCCACAAAAAATGGATTATATTAATTTCTACTATTTTTACTATTTCTACTGCTCTTCTTTCCAAAAGCTTGTTGAGACAAAAGAGGCAATTGGGAATCAGATCCTCAAGGAGGTGAACTTACCTTGACAGTGGAAAGATGGCTTTGAGCCACATCAGGCCATTTCTGCTTGTGAAGAGGGAGCCAGTCACATTGCCCTAACTGAGTCATGTATGATTTGTAGCAGCATATTCTGGTCTGAGTTTCTCATGTTACCCCAATACGAAGAAGGACTTAATTTCTTCTTGTATCCTAAAAGGCTGTCACAAGGCAGTAGGGCTCTTCTGCAGCTGAAGAGCATGTACAGAAGAGTTCATATAGCAAATAAGTGTGATTTTTTAACTTGATACAGGCTAAAGAGCAGCTCTAAAGACAACCTTTCATTACTGTCTGAAATGTTGATCCTTTCTGTTTTGAACTGAAGCATCAGATAATATTTAGGTTCCTAAAATATATTTTTTTTATGGCAGGGAAAGATATTAATAACCTTGGGTCTATTGGGTCAAACAATTTTATTATGACTAATACAAGATCCTGTTTCTTGAGTACAGACTCAAAACCCAGGATGAAATTTAGAACCCAGTCTAGGTGCTCAGTGCTTCCCAGAACCTGTCCCATGTGCTCAGTCCTCTGCCCAGTGACTATAACCCTCAGCTCCTTCCCATGGCCATAAGAGACTGCCTCCTTTGCAGGTTTTTCTTGGTCATTGCATTGACAATTTTCCCTGCCAATGTGATAATCCTTGTGTTTGCAGCTGAGTTCCCTGGGAGGTTCCCCACAGTGCTGCCAGTCCTGAATGGAGGGCTCTGATGTCTTCTCCCTTTGCTGCACAAAGGTGCTCCTTCCATTGACCTGGTATGGCTCAGGGAGGGTCTGGAAATTGAAGCCTAGAAATAAATAACATGTTCTATGATAAAAATATCCCAGGAGATCCCATGCATTAGGGAATATCAATTCTTTGACTCCCATTGGGACAGCAAAAATGTTCAAAGCATTGTGAGGAGTGAGCATCACCTCGCATTGCCTGAAGGAATGGGAGGTTTGTGGGCTGGAATATTGAATGAGCAGCCTGAAGGTTTGGGTCTATTTTAGACCAAATGTGGCCTTTGAGAGGGCTGGGATTTTTCAAGAGTGCTCATCACTGCTCCAGTTCTGTGCATGAAACCTCCTCTGATCATAACTAAGGAACCACCCTGTGTGCTTCCGACTGGCACCTGTAAAATGGATCAAACCCTTCTGACCTGCTTCACAGGTCTGTGCTGCTCAGCCACAGTATCAGGCAGCACCTCTGAAAAGCCCAGGTGGGAACAAGACCTGCAGCAGTGCCCGATGTGGGAGCTGGCAAGAGATCTGGGTGTGAGCTCCGGTGCTTTGGAGATGCTGGAGCCAAGGACAGATGCTCCCCAGCATGGGGCCCTGACACACAGTTCAACCGTGCTAGGGCCAAGACGTGGGGGTTTCTCCCACCCAAAGGGGACCCTCAGGCTCGCAGGTTCTGGGGTGGTTTTTCCACTGTAGGATCGGGAATATCTGGGATGTCACCTGGGATCTCCTGTATCTCCTGGGAGCTCTCTGGTTTCAGGGACTGGACACCCTCTCAAGGAAACTCAGGGCTCCCCAGGCTGAGGTTGTCCCAGTTTCCAGTTACCTTGGCAGTGCCAGCCCTGTGAGAGGTTCACACTCCCAGGACACCCAAAACTGATCCTGGACTTACCCGCTGGCCTGTGCGAGGTGAGGCTGGGCTCAGTTCTACAGGAGAATTGTGATTTTTTCCAGTTGCTCGCTGCTGTTCTCCCCTAACAAAAGGACTGGGCCTGCTTGCTGCAGAACATTTGTGTGCTCTGTTCACTTGCTGCATTGTCCTGCCCCGGAGCTGCGGGCGCTTCAGCGGGAGACCGAGTTCTCCCAGCGCCAGCTGCAGCCCTCAGCCCATGCACGCTCCGCTCCCTGCCAGATTGCACTGAGACTACAAAGGAGAAGAAAGGAACTGGCTCCTTGGCTGCTGTTTGTGTAGTTTACAAAGCCTCTTTTGCAGGTTTCTGATCCCATTTGGCCCAGAGCTGCTCTGCTGCAGAGCCCAGGGAGAGCAGAGCAGAGGGCGAGCAGGATCTCTCCCTGAGAGGGGCTGCCAGGGAACGGGGACACTGGCACCTCAGCACCCTCACCACGTAGTTCCTGTGCTGGAATCTGCCTGTCCAGCCAGGGATGCATCTTTGCTGGAAGAGCCCTGTGTGCCACCAGGGGCAGGGGGATGTGCCATGCTCTGTGCCTGTCATGGATGTCAAAGCTGAGGGAGACTCCAAGTCCTGCAGTGGGGACCCCGGGCTGTACCCCTGCACCCCACAGCCCCCCTTGGGCATGGCCACAGCCACCCCTGCAGATGCCAGCCTGCCTGGCAGCTCTCCAGAGGGACACAGTGCACCCACCTGAGGCTGCTGGTGCACCAGTGTCTTTATTCCTCAGTCCTGGTTTTGGTCACTGGTGGTGCAAACGATGGTTTTCCATCATATTTTTGGGGTGCTGCTGTTGAACAGTGTTTTGCTTTGGGCTGCCAAGGATCACGGCTCATCTTCTGCCTGGCCCTTGTCTAGGGGTGAGGCTGTGAGCTGTTGGACATGGGGACATCTCCGTGAGGGGCAGTGCTGTCACATCCCCCCACCCAGGGCATTGTGCTTGTATAAATGATCAGGATCACGTAGATCTGCTTTGAATTTTGACCTTGTTTGCTGTGGGGAGGGGACTGCTGGACTTTGTAGCGTAAATATCTCCTCACAAGTGAAAGTTGTCGGTCCCTGAGGGAAGAACAAAGGAAAATCCTTCTGATTTGAGGGGGAAAGGCCAGAGTTATTTATTTTACAGCTCTGAGGAGGTAAACAGGGAGGCAGAGTCCAGGACAATTAAAATATTGACGGAGCAAGGATGACATGTCAGAGATGGGTCTTTATTAATTTTAAAGCCTGCAGACAGGGAAACAAGCTAACATCATGTGAGATTTTAGAAATACAACTGAGGAAAGGCCTCCCACATGGTGGCTCCAGCACAGACCAAGGCAGGGCTGCCCAGTTTGGTCTCATGGCTGCTGAGGATGGTTGGCTTCCCTGCCAGAGGCTGGTGCTGTGCCCCCCAGCAAGCTGCTCAAGTAGAAATGCACAGCCTGCTTCTGTCTTCTGAGGCTGCCCTGACATGCAGCCCAGGATCTCTGCACCCCCTCATCCACCGGGTACCAGGGTGTCAGAACCTGTGCTATTGATTATTCCCAGATTGTAGAAAGTCTCTGTCTGTCAGCCCCGCTGCCAAAGCAGAAGCCATAATTGGTCTGTGCTGGTTTCCAGGTTGTTTATTCTGTTTATCTCTAACATGTTCTGCTGCCCTGCCCAGCTCTGTCCTGCAGGGCAGC